TCGTTAAGGACATGTAGACTGCTGTCACATTGCTTGAGTCCAAATTTTGCCCCGTCACTTGCAGTATGACTTTGGCTAAATTACGGATACTTTTTTGTGCCTCAGAGTCTTCATGTGTAAAATGGAGATACACTTATCTAAAAATCTTGCTGTGAAGATGCAGTAATATTTGTAAAGGGCTTAACACAGTGCCTGAGGCATAGTATGTTATCTATCTGCACATCCACCCAGGTGAGGACTTCATTCAAATCCTATTTACATTTATCCTGTATACACAGTAGGTTTATTTTTTTTACTGTGTTGTCACTGAAGTTTTAAATCTTATTATTAAGTATTGGCTAGTTTCAAGTTAATATTTGGAAAATGCCCGTGTGATATAAGGAAGAACTGGGCAATGAAGATCCATATGCCTTCTATCCAGATTAAAGAGGGGGACAGTTACTTTAAAAAAAGAATAAACATAAAACTTATTATCTAAACCGGGACACTTTTGAGAGTGAAAGAATGCAATTACTATACCAGGAAACTAGGCAAACTGGGATTGTTCCAGCTAAAACAACATGTCTAATTATGCTACTTTTACGTTTCTTGTGGGCTTCTTCCTTATTCGATTCCCTTCCTTCTGCAGCTAGAGAAAATCACTAGTTTGATTCTAGGTTTATCATTCCTTTGCTTTAATTTATAGATTTACTTATGTCCTCACCCTTAAGCAAGATATTTTTTTTATGTTCACAGCAGGTTCTTTATAGAAGTGGAATCCTACTGCAATATCCTTTTGTTAATTGATTTGTTGCTTATCATTGTTAGATTCATCCATGTCCATAGACTTGCAGTTTTTTCCCACTGTTGTATTTGTTAGAAAGCAATAGGAAGTTAATAAAGTTTTTGATACTTAAAAGTGACATGGTGACACAACAAAAACCTACAATGGAGGAGTGGCTTTGGAAGTGGCAGAGGACGGAAGGCGGAAGGATGTGGAGGAAAGTGGTAGAGAGTTTGAGAGTCTTAAAGAAATTGCAGACGCGTGGTAACATTGAAAAGGCTGCAGATGAGGTCTTAACTGATTAGAATAATCTTACTGGAAATTGAAGGGGCATAAAGTGTAGCAAATTTGTCACCTGCAATTATGTGCAAAGTAGAAAATATGCTTAACGAACTGGGTTATCTACCTTCGGAGATTTCCAGCCAGAATGTTAAAGATGTTTTCTTATTTCTTATAGTAAGACATAAAGAGAGATAAGTTAAAGGATGGTCAAAAGGAGCCAGAACTTATGATATTTGAAGATTCCCGGACTCTCCAGATGACAGATATAAAGTTAGGAAATGGGTCAGAACAAAGAACAAATCCAGGGCACTAACAGGAAAGTATGAAGCGGAGGGTGTCACTGGAAAGCCCTTTAGGACCTAAAAAGATCTAATGTGGTAACTCAGCGTATTTTCATTTAGACATAAAGGGTGTGCCTCACCATCTTAATCAAATTACAGGACTTCTACGAAGTTTAAGGGTGCGGTGCATGACAAGACCAAAGTAGAAAAGGGTTTATAGGGAAGACATTTATGAGTGTGGCTTTAATGATGTGAACTGAAATCAAATTCACAGGAGACCCACAAAGTTTATAAGAGAATTCTATTAGCAGAATATGCTTTTTAAGAGACTTTTAAAACAAAATTATATTTAGTAGGCTGTTGGCCAGCCCGGACTGGAAAGGACAGAGAACCAAATGAAAACAGGCTTTGGACATCCACGCTGCTATAGGCAGAGAACTACACAGCTGAAAACATGGAGAAGCAAGGACGATTCAGTGGATGGATCCAAGAGACTGGAAAGCAGAGTTAGGAGCCTTGGAGAATTACTCTTAGGCAAATACTGTGTGTCTTTAGTTTATAGGTCCTCTTCTTAAGAGGAATTCCATTCAAGGAGCTGCAGCTAAGGAAGTACACCTTAAAAGCTTCATCCATATCTGGACTCAATTTCAAGTTCTAGACTTTTAGCTGATGTTGTAATGGGATGACTGTTTTGGAGAACTTTGGGAGAGAATAAGTGTGTTTTGCATATAAGAAGAATATGAATCTTTGAAGGCCAAATTGTAGTAGCCAGCCTCCTGGTATTTGTGCTTTGCTGTTCCCTGCCACACTGTATCAGGGATCATCTGTGGGACTAATAGGATACAGAAGTAATGATACATCAGTTTGAGTGATTTTGACTTCTCTCTCTTGGATCACTTGCTCTGGGGAAAACCAGGTGCCATGTTGTAAAGAAACCAGGGAAGTCCTGTGAGTGACTCATCTTGGAACTGGATCTTTTATCACCTTCATTAGACTGCAACCCAGCCAACAGCTTGACTGCAAACTCATAAGACCCTGGGCCAGAGCACCTAGCTGAGCCACTCGTGGACTCCTGACTCTCAGAAATTGTGAGGTAAATATTTTTAGTGTTAATGTATTATACAGCAATAGTTAACTAATATAAGTTCACACATTACTTTATGCCTTTTAAGTAAACCTCTTTTAAAAAATATATTTTAATTGATTTCAGAGAGGAAGGGTGAGGGGTCTAGAGAAAGAAAGATCGGTGGGTAGGGGGTGGGTGCTGTCATTGAAAAGGCTAGGTGAGCAGGGAGAGCTATGCCATTTACAGGCATACCGTATCCACTTTTCCTTTCACAGCATTTACACAATGACTCCCCCCCCCGACCCCCACCCCAACCTCACACACACACTGGGGATTGAGCCCTGATTGAAATCAAACCTTGGCTCTCAGATTTATAGGTAGATGCTCAAACACTGAGCCACGTCAGTCAGGTTTAATTAAGTAAGCCTCTTTAAACCTACAATTTTCTCTGTCTTCTTAACTGCAACCTATTGGTTGAAGTTAACTTGTACCATGATTTTCTATAGATTGAATTTTACTGATTGTTTAGCCATACTGTTTAGCATGTTCTCTATATTTCCTAGTATCAGGTTCAATTATTTGGCAGGATTTTTAAATAGGAGATGGTATGTTTTTTCATTAAAAGGCATATAGTTTCGGGAGGTGGGGGGGGGTTAGAGAGCAACCAAAGGACTTGCATGCATGCATATTAGCATAACCAATGGACCCAGACACTGGGGCGATGGGGGCTTGCGGGGGTGAGTCAATTGGGGAAAAAGGAGATGTGTAAAACTTTAGACAAAAAAAAAAGGCATATACTTTCCTGTTTGTCATGTTAATGTAAAATGAATAAATCCATTTATTCCTTTTGAATCTCAAAATGGCATTGTATAATTTGTGTAAATTGCAGGAGTTATTACATCAATTAATCAGATAGATGGTATGTCCTAGATAAAACTATGATAATGTGTAAAACAGGGAAGGTTTAGAGCAGTGGTTCTCAACCTTCCTAATGCCACGACCCTTTAATACAGTTCCTCATGTTGTGGTGACCCCCAACCGTAAAATTATTTTCGTTGCTACTTCATAACTGTAATTTTGCTATTGTTATGAATCATAATGTAAATATCTGATATGCAGGATGTATTTTCATTGTTACAAATCCAACATAAAGCATAGTGATTAATCACAAAAACAATATGTAATTATATATGTGTTTTTCTGATAGTCTTAGGCGACCCCCGTGAAAGGGTTGTTCAATCCCCAAAGGGGTCGAGATCCACAGGTTGAGAACCGCTGGTTTAGAGGAAGGCTATGCTACTGAATTATTAAAGGATTACAATATGCTTCTGAAGAACGTGTTAGCTTGTCCTAAATTAGGAATATGAGAGTAATAGAGATGTATGTTACGAGGCATATTTTTTTTTTAAAAAAAAGCTCCTTTAACCATTCTTAAGTAAAAGAAAAGAAAATTTTAAAAAATTGCCCCCTTATAAAATGGTAATTCCAGAAGTGGTAATTGATATATTTTGGTTACTTCCTTTTTTACACTTTATTCCATGCTTAGGATTATTTTTCACATCAAAGCAATCATACTGGTCACAATTTTGCATCCTTTCTTTTAATTTAGAAAATAAACATTTCCATTAGAAAGACTAGTCTACTGGTTTTTTTAAAAACAAAACAAAACAAAAAACTATAGTATATTTCACTAGATACAAATAATAGAATTTGGCCAATCTCTAATTGTTCTTAAATTCTTACCTAATTATTGCCACAACTCACATTTTTGTCCATAGTATTTATTTAAATGGTATTTTTAAGGGGGAGAGATGGACGATACAACAAGAAGTTTCCAGCTTATCAGAGCTTTTTGTCTAATTAGGGAAATATACATGGCAGGGGGATTACAAAAGTGCTGTATAAGAAAGCATATAATAATCATATATATTAAGGTAAGAAGAAATAGTGGAATTTCTTAGGAGGGGCTCATCAGAAAAACATTTTGCCAAGATTATGGAGCAAGGCTTGGGAAAGTGGTAAGTCCTAATGGTGGAAAATGTTCAGGTAAGTGTGGGTGTTCAGGTTGGTTTGGGTGTTGGAGGAGGAGGTAACTTTCTGTTGACGTTCTTCAGAAGTATTTGAGGATAGTTCTCACTCAGGAAGCCCTCATCTCAAAGGCATAATAGTAAGCAAACAAGACTTTTATCAAAGATTGGACTCCTAATGCCCCTGCCCCAACCTATCAAATTTCTTTTTAATCTCGATCATCCACATCTTTTTCCCCTTTCATAATTCTCCTTTCTTTATATCTTTGTCAAAGATTCTTATCTACTTTAAGTAGTGGAAATAGGTTAAACCCTCCTACAAGGCACGTAACCCATCAAAACATTATGGTCTGTAGAATATTTTTTAAAACTGGGAAATGCTATCTTAGAACATAGAATGTATGCATTCTAATCTTTAAAAAAATAGAAATAAGAGCATTAAAGAATATTAACCAAGGGTTATCAACTTGCCATACACGTCAGAAACATAAAAACCCCTAATCTATTAAAAATAATAAAATAACAAAATGACTGTGA